TAAACATCATCGGAACACACGAAACGAGAGGACATCAAAACAAATTAAACACCACCCGCCGTTAATGGAGAGGTCAGTTTTGTAAACATTGATTTTCTGGAGTTTCAAGTGAACTAGGAGTCATGATTTCTGATTTATGTTAATAAAATTTAACCGCGCACAGTCATTTTTGCCGCGGAAAGAAATAATACTGTAACAGTCAAGTTCCCACATGGATCCATCACTCGTCTGATTTGAAAACACCACAATACACCCATTTAACCAAGCACACTTATGCTTCACTCATTTCGCATTCGGGGCGGTTGTTGTCTGAGCCAGTTCGTGAATACGTTTGCACAACCAAGTGTGGACGGCAAGGTGTCAGTGTGCCGGTGAATGAATGACAGCATCTCCATAGGAGTTCATTCGATAGATTGGTATTCCACCCATTTGCGCTTGCATTCTTGCTAAACAGCTTTCTGTATGATCTTTGGATTAGGTAACAGATCTCGTAGCCCCATCAAAGACTAGCTGTCTTGGATGCTGAATGCTATTTCGTTGAGGTTTTGGGACCTCAGTTACTGTTATATCCCTTGCTACGTGCTACTCTCAAGCTGGTTTATTCCGCCTGTTTAGCGGTAACAAGAACACTAACGGCAAAAAACGTGGGTCCTCGTGATTGTTCGACAGCCAGTTGATTTGCCCCTCCCCACTCCGTGTACCGGTATCGTGTTGGGCAAAGAATAGTTAATGTCATAGATGATGTTTTGGAATTCCAAACAGTTAATGATTAGCAACGTATTGTGGAATCGAGGACAAAACGTAACAACAATAACAGACTAAGGTCTTAACGACAGAAGTTACAATTGTAGCAAATAAAACGCGCGAATCCAAAAGCACATAGCTAAACACATACTCACTCGTTTGTCAACGGCCGGGAGTTTGTCTGACATGGTGTGCCATAGAACTTGTAACGTCCAAGCAACCGACTATATTGAAACAGGAAAGCATGTACATATATTTAAGAGGTAAACTGCGTATGAGATTGTTCACGATCAATATTGTATCAGTTAGCGTGCAACAATACCGAGAAAACGCTGTAGAGGATGTGGAAAAAGAGGCGGTTATAAGGGAACTGCGAAATTTGCAGAACAAATAAAAACTTCGAGGTGAAACAACATCAAAATGACTTTACTTGAACAGCACATCTGTTTGTGGAGACGTAAATGGTCCAATACATCATGCATGATAACAAGCTCACTAGCTTCGAACTAAATGAAATCATGCGTGGCGGTTTGTGGCACAGAGGAACGAAAATCGCATGTTTAGACCAACTGATAGACAGTGTGGTCGATTGCATTGTGTCGCCTAGGGCAAGAGATTGTAGTTAGCCACCTGGCGATTTACATTGTGGATCGAGGCAAGTAGGGGTCATGACAAACGATCAATGGTGG